CCCTGGGCAGCCTGTCCCAGGGCTCTGGCACCCTCACTGGAAAGAAGTTTCTCATCAAGTTTAAGCGGAACCTCCTGTGTTCCAGCTCACACCCATTGCCCCTTGTCCTACCATTGGGCATCACTGAGAAGAGCCTGGCTCCATCCTCATGACATTCACCCTTTACATATTTATAAACATTAATGAGGTCTCCCCTCAGTCTCGTGTTCTCCAAGCTAAAGAGCCCCAGCTCCCTCAGCCTTTCCTCAGCAGGGAGATGCTCCACTCCCTTCATCATCTTGGTGGCTCTGCGCTGGACTCTCTCCAGCAGTTCCCTGTCCTTCCTGAACTGTGGGGCCCGGAACTGTCCCGCTCGTTTGATGCTGAAGCCACATCTTGAGCACGGGACAAGTCTAACGGCGTGTCCTGAGCACAGGGAGCCAGGACGTGGCACCGCAGGAGAGCGAAGCGCCCGCTGCCACCACCCCCCTTCACCTTTCTTGATCTTCTCGTGGAAGTTGATGGCATCCACCGAGGCGGTGACGATGTTGGTCTTGCAGTGCCGGGCAGCCACAATCCCGGCGACCTCATCCATCAGTTTCATGGTGACACCTGGGGGGGAGGCAGAGGGTCCCGTCTCAGGGCAGCCGGTGGGATTTGGGGAAAAGCCACACACGGGTCAGTAAGGCCTTTGCACGACCAAAGCTGCACCAGGGAGTCAGAGCAGAGACTGAATCCCGACCACCGGAGACCCCGGTGCCGGCACAAGGACTCCGGTCCCATGTACCTGCAGGGCAGCATCCTCACAGACCTGAGCTTAAGGGTTAGGCCAGCTCTGGCTCTCCTGAATTCCTCTGAGCAAACCTCAGCCTTGCAAGGCAAGATCAGTCCCACAAACCTCCTGCTTGGGAAGAGCTCTGAGCCATACTGTTGTTTGTGGGGTTCTTGTTTGGGTTTGGGGTTTTTTTTTATTATTTTAAGGACGCAATTAGATGAAGAGCAGCATCCAGCATCATCCCAGCCCTCAGGAAATGCACCTCTCACCTGGCTCACCCCCCACACACCTGCCCTGCCCTGTCCTGCCCACCTGGCAGGCGATGGGCACTGCCAGCCCAGAGGAAATGACTCCAGCAAATTGCAGGCATTGTACACTGGGGGTTTATAATCCCATATTTGCAATTTGTGAGACGATGACACACTTGTAGGAGTTACAGCTTGAGGATGTCAGTTCCCAGGGCCTTTTTTAATCATAGACAAAGACAAAGCTTTTGCCTCAGCTGAAGCAAGGAAGATGGAAAAGGGCCCGTGTACCTTCAGCGGCAGAGCCCTCCTCCCACAAACACTGAGACCCACGAGTCGCTCTCAAACCACACTGCTGCTCTGGGGAAAAACCAGCCCAGGTGCTGGCGGAGGCAGCGCTCACTCACCTCCGTGCACGAAGCCCAGCAGCGTGCAGTCAGACGGGCCCACCAGGTGGATCAGGCTGGACTGGCTGTAGCCAACGGTGTGAGGCTCTGGGTGGAGAAAGAGCAAAGTGGAGGTCAGAGCTGCTCGTTTTTTTTCACACCCCTTTCTCAAACCACCTGAAGGAAGAAGAGACGGGGCTGGCTCGTGCAAAGCTGATGTTCAAACCAGCATTTAAATCTGCCCCGAGAAGTCCTGAGAGCAGAGGCCGCTCACCACCTGACGGGCTGCCACCTCCCTCTAATGCCTGCCCAGCAGTTTTATTCCAGCTCAACTCGTTTCTTCTTCCAAAGCTTTCAAAGAGCCCAGAAGCAAACAGGAGTGAACTGGAGGGACATGTGGCCATACACCTCCCCTCCTCGGGCCACCAGCCACAGCCCAATCCCCCCAAACCTGCCGCTCAGCGGCGTCTCCAAAGGACCACACTG